TATGGATGACATCCTCCGGGAGCCCCAAAACTGATGCGCGCGTGCGAATAAAAAAAAAGTTTTGCAAAAAAAAAAGTTCTTTTCATTATGAAATCTACGTGGTCATGAGGGTTGAGCAAATGGCACAGAATATGGTTTGGCGAATAATCTAGTCTTCAAGTTCATTTCTTTACAATTTCGTCTTTTTTCGTTTGATTTTGGCATTCTACGACATTGGTATAGTTTTTATTAATTTTTTTTGTAACTTAATGGTATATTTTTTGCTCATTTTGCAACTGTTTTGTACGATTTACAGTATGGTTGAAAACTTTTTTTTGTTGGAAACGGCCGAAAATTCATGCGCGCGCGGATGTCATCCATATAATCAAATCAACATGGCCTTATCTTCATGTACCTATTAATTACACCCTGGTAGACAGTGATTTTTACCTTCGCCAAGAAGGTTATGTTTTCAGGGGCGTTCGTGTATGTGTGTGTGTGTGTGTGTGTCTGTCTGTCTGTCTGTCTGTCTGTCAACACGATAACTTGAGAAGGTCTTGATGGATTGTCTTGATACTTGGTAGGTGGGTAGGTCTTGATGAGACCTCAAAATGATTAGATTTTGGGCCACCTGGCGGTTTGTCATGGTACTGCAGCAGAACTTCCGATTTTGATATCTCATGATCCAGACATGCTAGGGTGACGAAATTTAGATGGTAGATAGCTCTTGTGCTGGGGATAAAGTGACATGAGTTTGAGCCCCCTAGTTGCTTGCTCTAGAACTGCAGGGGGGTTTAATGGACAAATGTTTAAAGGGGGATAACTCAAGAACCGATTGATGGATCATCGTGATTTTTGGTATGTAGGTAGCTTGAGTGATGCTTGACATAATGATATTACAATTATGCAAATATGGATGTAATTTGCATAATTAATGAGGAAATTCTATTTAACAGCTGCATTCCATAATAGTAAGTTCAAGCTTGTGACATATGTTATTAAGAATGAGAGAAACACAGGCAGATATTGATTATGCAAATGAATACTTAATTTGCATAATTAATGAGAAAATATTATAATTGCATAGTGGAATTTTATACTTGGGGTGTTTGAAAGTTAAGTTAAGGTGAACATAATTAAACATAACTTGTTCAAATAAGGACCTCATTTGCATAATTTATGAGAAAATGTCATCATGGCATTCTTTGTTAAGATAAGACTGTCTTTTGGTGGAGAATATGATCAACAGATATAATTGATGCAATTGAGGATCCTATTTGCATAATTAGGGGGATTAATATATAATTTCTTAATCATAAAAGCTAACATCATTTGGCGAAGGTATGAGATCGTGGAACTCTAGTTTATGTTTAAGTTACTAGAATGTTGTCGATACGCAACCGTAGAAACAGGCTTTATTTATCAGCCAATATGGATGGAAGTATTTTCATCATTTTCTGGCATACAGATTGTTACGCCAATAAAAAAAGTCATCCTCTTTACACAATTACAATGCATTTTAAGTTCTTTATAATTATGGACATGAATATAACGTTAGATCTCAGTTCACGTTCTAGAACTAACTTATTTCTCTTTCATCATAGGTTTATCATAAACGTAACTGGTAAACCTGTGTTTCTATATCTAAAACATATCTCCGCTAGAACAGTACGTATACGTTGACCCAAATTGGCCACAATGCTCAGGTGGTCATGTAATGTATACGCCTTTCACTACCGACTAAATGCTATCTTTCGTGACTGAAAGCCACTTTACAGGCCTTTAATGAGAGAGGAAATCACACCATTTTTCGATGACGCTGGTACTGTTAGATCTAGGGCATCAGTCGTGTTAAGAGCAGGAAATGAAACATCACAAAGATAGCCAGGAGCTACGTCCTTTCGAGTCTGCGTTGTATGATAGACGTCTTTAATGACGTCTAAGAATAACACACTTGTACAATGTACCTTTGAGTTGCCTTTATGCACCTTTGATTTTTTTTTACCAATTATGTTATGTACAACAATCATCTCTA